CCCGCCCCCCCTCAATTGAAGGAGGGAGCGGGTCACCCTGAAGAGGGAGGCCGGGCGATTATCTGATGACGCAATGAGGGTGGAGTAGTAATTAGACCTCGCCACCCTCATCGCCACGAGGTAGGATCTAACATGTATCCTTACCTGTGTTCGGTCGGATTCGGTTCGGGAGACCCTCCAACTGCTCTCTAGGCGTCTTGGGACTTTACCAATTTCTGATCGGATTCGGAGCGGGTGGCCCTCCAATTACTCTCTAGGCATCTCTTCCGACGCTTCATCACCCTCAGCTCCTCGGAAAACCAAGGAGCCAAGGTAGACCGGCATCGGGTGAGGGGCCGCTAAGGCATGACCCGGTCCAGGGCCCCCGCGGCCGCACCATTCCAGGCGGCCACCAGGTCCTCAGTCGAGCCGCGGGTCAAGGTCTCAGGTATTGGCCCAAGCTCCGTCTGGAACTTCTCAGGGTCCATCAGGCGCCTGGGGCGGAACCATTTTGTCACTTCTGGTTCCGCCTCCCCGCGGTGGGGCGTAGCGGTAGGAAAGGCCAGCCGAAGGAGAGAGTGATCTGACCATGACAGGGGCTCAACGACCATTTCCCCATAACCATGATCATTTAGCCACTGGCCGGAGGCAAAAACTAAGTCCAGTGTGTGTCCCCCGGTGTGGGTAGGGACATCAACTAATTGGGTCAGGTCCATGGCCGTCATGGAGGCCATGAACTCCCAAGCCACCTCAGATGCTTCACCTAACGATGGCAGATTGAAATCCCCCATGACTAACAGTCTGGGGTCTCGATCGCCATCTCGGCTATCACACTGAGTAGCTCGGGTAGGGCTGCTGATACATAGCGGGGAGCCAGGTATACAATCAGCACGCCTTGCTGCCTCCCATGACCCCACTTCACACCTAGGGATTCACAACCGGCAGTCTGCGGCACAGTGTTCTCCCTTGGATCCAGGCCTTCCCTAATAATAACCGCCACCCCCCCACCCCGACCCTGGGCTCTCGGCTGGTGAAATGCACGGTAGCCTGGCGGGCACATTTCAACGAGGGGCACCCCCCCCTCTTGGCCCAGCTAGGTCCCCGTAATACCCGCCAGGTCCACCTCCCCCTCCGATACCAAATCATAAATGAGGGGGGCTTTATTAACCGTGGACCTGGCGTTACACAGCATCAGCCGAAAGCCCAGGCCCTGAGATCCTAAACCCCCTAGGTTGCAAGAAGAGCCATGGGGACCGGAGCGCGCCACAGCTCTTAAACAGCGGGTGCGCCCTCCCCTAGTGTGATATGGCCCTCTGCTCCCGCCATATCTACCCCTCCCATACACAGTCTAAATGGAATTGCCCTCTATTAGGCAGACCCTCCCCCCCTCCCCAATTCCAGAACCTACGCCCACCTCGCCGAGGCCTTCAGCCGGCCTGGGAGAATTAATTTCAGTTTGCCCACCCCTCTTCCCGGAACCCCCTAAAACCCGGACTAAAAATTTGATTAAAAATCCCCTTAGGTTGCGTTTTGACCACCTCTCGTGATTAAAAAATCCCTCATCGAGGTGGGCCCTCAATGCTGTGGGCCAGACCTGCGAGAGAGGGGACTCTCGCAGGGCATGGAGGTGAGCTGCTGAATACATCACGGGCACACAGTGACCTCCAACGCAACCCTATATGCCTATGAAGCCCTATCTGCTATCAAGTTCAGTTCTTTTAGCTGGTACTCTGGAATGGCCACAGTCTGGGAGCAGAAGAGCCGCCGAACCTGGGTTCCAGCCAAACAGCCGTCCTTCTCTCGAAGCCGCAAAGTGGCCTCTCTGGATCCCCTCCAGGACCGCGACTGCTCCATCCATGAACAGAGCGCAAAAACAGCTGGTCCCATAAGCAAATCTCCGAACCTCCGGCATTCCACCCTGACACCGTTGGCAAACTAGAGTGGAATGATGATAGTCAATCTCAGGTAGCAAAAACTCACAGGGGACAATGGCAGACAGTTCCTGGCAACAGCAGCCGGTGTACAACGATGGCAGTCCGTCTCCAGCAACAGCAGCCAGAGCAATGATAGTCAGTCTCTAGCAGCAGCAGCCCGCCTAAAGCGATGCCAGCCAGTCTCCAGTAACAGCAACTTCCTTTTGTCCCGCCTGCTCCACTCGACGTCCAGCAAAACAGGACAGAGTCCAAGGCAAGGCAGGTCCGAAGGGGGAGTCCTCAGGGCCAGGGCAAGCCAAGAACAGTCCTCAAAGCAAGGCAAAAGCAATTCTCGAAGCCATCCATGTCCCAACAGCCTGTGAAGGTTTGTGTCCCTTTAAATTTCTCCTTTCCTTTCCTGAGGCAACTTGAATTGCTAAGCAGAGAGCAAAGGTAGCACTAAGGATCAGGTGGGAGGCAAAAAGGAGAGAAAAGGGTGAATTGGCTCATTAATAACCAAGGGTGCAATTTGTTCTCTGTGGAAGGAGGGAGTGGGCCAAAAGGTACAGAAGGGGCGAGAGTCTTATTTCAAGGGAAGAATTAACCCAGGAGGGAACGCTCTGATTTCCAGGCCCAAGGAAAGAACCGTGGGCACAATGGAAATTGGAAAGTTTCTTCAGAACATTCCAGTAGCAGCTTCTGGATCTCAAGATGAAATCTCACCAATCAGAAGAAATTGTGATACTAGTTTGTGGAATTGAATACACTTGTACTCAGGAGATTACGTACCCCTTGAAAAGTGTGTAAAGTTATTCAAATTCAACTATTAGGCATGACAGAACAGCAGAATCATTAAATAGAGAGTAGCAATAAAGGGAATAGTAAAATGGTGCTGTCCATAAGTTTAGTTACTCCAGTGTTTGGGCTGAGAATATAGTATACACTCATGTTGACACACAAAGGATGAGATGGCAATAAAGGGTAAGTGTTCACACCTTCCAAACTCCAGACATATGGTTTTTCTCCTGTGTGAATTCTTTGATGTTTATGGAGACTTCCACTTTCAGTAAAGCTCTTTCCACACAGGAGGCATTTATATGATTTCTCCCGAATGGATCCTTTGATGTAGATAAAATTTGCTCATGTCAAGAATCTAGGCATTTATAGGGCTTCCTTCGTGAGTAATTTTTGTTGTTTGCAGGTTTCCATTCTGACTGGAGCTCTGTTCACTATGTAGACTTTTATATGTTTTTTCCCCTGAATGAATCCTTTGATGTTTACAAATGTTTCCACCATCAATAAACCTCTTTCCACATTCCAGGCATTTATGCTGTTTCTCTCCAGAGTGGATTCTTTGATGTACATAAAGACTGGTCCTTTGACTGAAGCTTTTTCCACACTCCAGGCATTTATACGGTTTTTCTCCTGAGTGGATCTTTTGATGTCTATACAGGTTGCCCCTCTGACTGAAGCTTTTTCCACACTCCAGGCATTTATGCTGTGTCTCTCCTGAGTGGATTGTTTGATGAATATTAAAGGTGCTCCTAACACTAAAGCTTTTTCCACACTCAAAGCATTCATAAGGTTTCTCTCCAGTGTGGATCCTTTGATGATTACGGAGGTTTCCACCATTAGTAAAGCTCTTTCCGCATTCCAGGCATTCATACGGTTTTTCTCCTGAATGGATTCTTTGATGTGTATAAAGGCTGCTCCTCTGACTGAAGCTTTTTCCGCACTCTGGGCATTTAAACGGTTTTTCTCCTGTGTGAATCATTTTATGTCTATGAAGATGTCCACCCACAGTAAAGCTCTTTCCACACTCCAGGCATTCATATGGTTTCTCTCCAGTGTGGATTCTTTGATGTCCATCTAAACTTCCTCTACTAGTGAAACTTTTTCCACACTCCAGGCATTTATGCGGTTTTTCTCCTGAATGGATTCTTTGATGTACATAAAGGTTTCCCTTCCAACTGAAGCGCTTTCCACACTCCAGGCATTTAAATGGTTTCTCTCCTGAGTGGATTCTTTGATGAACATTAAAGGTGCTCCTATTACTAAAGCTCTTTCCACACTCAAAGCATTCATAAGGTTTCTCTCCAGTGTGGATCATTTGATGATTACGGAGGTTTCCACCATTAGTAAAGCTCTTTCCGCATTCCAGGCATTCATACGGTTTTTCTCCCAAATGGATTCTTTGATGTTTATAAAGGCTGCTCCTCTGACTGAAGCTCTTTCCACACTCTGGGCATTTAAATGGTTTTTCTCCAGTGTGGATCCTTTGATGTCTACGAAGATGTCCACCCTCAGTAAAGCTCTTTCCACACTCCAGGCATTTAAATGGTTTTTCTCCAGTGTGGATCCTTTGATGTCCATCTAAAGTTCCTCTACTAGTGAAACTCTTTCCACACTCCAGGCATTTAAATGGTTTCTCTCCTGAGTGGATCCTTTGATGAACATAAAAAGTGCTCCTATCACTAAAGCTCTTTCCACACTCCAGGCATTCATAAGGTTTTTCTCCAGTGTGGATTCTTTCATGTTTATAAAGGCTTCTGCTCTGACTGAAGCTCTTTCCACACTCCAGGCATTTATATGGCTTCTCTTCTGTGTGGATACTTTGATGTACATAAAGGTGGCTCCTCTGACTGAAGCCCTTTCCGCATTCTGGGCATTTATACGGTTTTTCTCCTGTGTGGATCCTTCGATGTCTATAAAGGTTGCTGCTCTGACTGAAGCTCTTTCCACACTCCAGGCATTTATGCGGTTCTTCTCCTGTGTGGATTGTTAGATGCCTTTCAAGATTTCTATTTCTTTTGAAGGATCTTCCACATTCTGCGCACTCATATTTCTCTCCTCCCTCCTGGATTCTCTGGGGATTCCCGGGTCTTCCGCCTGTCCCGAAGGACCCTCCGCCCTCCAGGCCCGTCTCGGGGTCTCCGCCCGTTTCCTGCTCCCCACTTCTCCCTCCAGGCGGCCTCCTTTCC